AGAGCACTAAATGCAATGCCACGCCTGCACGCATCTGTCAAGATTCTTCTTGTGTTTGGTTGCCTTCAATATTATTTAGTTTAAATAAATATATCTACTTTTGGGGTTTAGATGGAAGAGCAGGAGGGAGGTAATGCACCTTTCAACTGAATCTCGCCCCAGTTTTATGTAATCCATTATATTGTTTATTTCTTTGTTATTAAAGGCATTTATTATTATTATTATTATACGCAAGTTACGCCACTGGATATATCTTGGCGGGAATATTTATTATTTAATTGCATAAGGACGAAAGCTCACAACTAGACGCGCGTTATGGATTTTAATATGTGCTTGTTATTACAAACTTGAGTTTGCAGGGCCTTTCGTCTAAGTTTGCGCAATGTTATGAGTTATAAATCCAGTTACGGTCATACTTAGGAGTAGCTTTGTTTATTTGTTATTGGTAGCACACCCGTAATTCTGTTTCATTTAGGTACGTAACAATTTCGGTAATAATGTAGCTTCAATTACGTTTGTAGCAAATGCAAGTTGTGGTGTAATTGTAATCGATATAATGTTTAGGGAATTTTCCCTTTAGCTTTATCAATGTCTGTTTTTACTTTAGGGTTCGTTTTATTGGCCAGTTAGAGGTTAAAGATTATTATACAGAGCGTTAATACAATTTAGGGTATTTGAAGATATTTTCTACGTCCATGCGTAGTTATAGATAAGTGGTTTTTTTTTCAGCATCTCTATATTTTAACAACTCGACCTTAAAATTCAATTACGATTTTTTTTCTCGGATTGTGTCATGCTCCGGGAGATTTTTTATGTATTTTATTTATTTATTTATTTCTTTATACATTTATTTATTTAATTATTTATTTATTTCTTAAGCTGTTCTATACTACTCCGGTATTTACTTTACGAAAGCAGGAAAACCTAATTCGGAGTAACGTGGAAATTCCCATCTCTGCCACAGATGAAAAATTTTTACCTCGGCCCAGGTTCGAACACTCGACCACCCGGCTATGTAGCTCAACGCTCTACCACTGAGACACGTCACACATAGACATATTATATGGGGCTCCCTCTTGGAGATTATTACGACTATACAAGACACGGGTATTTTTCCGCTATTTTATTGCGCATACAAGTGCCAAATGTGATTATCTTTCATGTTTGTTATTTGATCTTACGATTCTGTACATATATTTTATACCAATATTAAACCCTTATATTATTAATTACTAGCATTCCCGTTTGGAAAATCCCGTTTTTTCTCGCATCTCGTTCCCCTTTTTTACCCGTTCCATTGGGAACTTCAGTACACCTACACGCTTTCAAAGAAACCTACTATCTAAATGTCAAGTCTCTTTTCGACTGTAAAACAGAAAATCCTCTTTTTTCGGTTCCCGTTCCCGTGGGAATTTCGGAGAGTGTTTTACTACATCAGACACCTTCGCGGGCAAAGGTAATTGATACTTTTGACCGTCTGTTTTTTTCCTCTAGCCTGAAGCCGACGGTTTAGAGTTTTCTAGAGCCGTAGTTCTCGCTTTGGCGGCATCTATTGGTTATATTGGGATTTTAAATGAAGAAAAAAAAAATTAATTTTTTACGTCATTAATAATTCTTAATGGCGCCATATTGCTATATTGCGATTTAAAATGACGGAAAAAAGAAAAATTGCGTGATTATTAAGTCCAAGTTTCAATTTCGGAGTATTTATTAAAAAAAGTGAATATGAATTCGCGGGAATCAAAGTAAATTGCGTGCATAAGTCGTGACAAGTAGTTAACAAGAAGGTGCCAGTTCACATTTTCACAAGGGATTAAGTGGTATAAAGTTACGCCAAAGGGATATTTAGGTACGCATCTCAGTGTGGGAGTTAGAAAGAAACTCGTAATCGTGTCGAGTTCAGTTCGAAAAGAACACAGTCCGTCCTTGTAAAATAAACGCGTTCATCATCTTCACCACGTATTGGCGCCGTGCAATAAAGAAAAAGGGAGTTTGATGTGTAACCCGAAATTACAACAAAGAAAACTGTTAGTAAAATCCTAGATAATATTAAAGTTCATTATTCGTGCCGCTAAAGAAAGTTTACCTAAAAGGATTTCCTAAAATTTAAACTAAGTTTCAATAAACAAACCAATTGAATTGAGTGTGTATTCCACTGCTTATTCAGTCCAAAGAGTCGTTGTTTAGAAGATATTTCAAGTCTTCGGGTTTTTAAGCCTAATGAAATCCAGGTCTTCTACGTCGAAGAAAAAATTGTAAATAAAAAGGCTAATTATCAATTTTTATTGTTATTTATCTATAATTAAATCTGTCAATGAAACAACAACAAAAATATGCGACAGAAAGTTCAATGTAACAAAAGGAGATGCATCCTTAAACCACTCTTAAGAGCTAGTCGGAGTCATCATTTTTAAAATTTTGTATAAATTTTTATGATACAGTTTTCTGGTTGCAATTTCCTATTTTATAAAAAACATGTTTGCTCAGTTGCAAGACAGTTAACCTAGTAACACAAATAAAATTCAGTTTTTATGAAGTACAGTTACTTGAACTTGAAAGGTGTCTGGCAAGGGGTTGCCACGATGTAAAGTGTTGACAATAGAAGACGTGATTTCTTATATTCTTCCGAAGGAAGATATACAAAAATTACGCTTTATAATTTACCGTAAGTAAGTTTATATTTTATACATCTTTGGTACCTGCTACCTACCAAAGCCACGATGGCCCAAAGTACATAGGTACTATCCCATCGTACTTACCTGTGTTAGAACCATGCACTGAGAAACTTTCAGCTTTTATAACGGGCTGTATCTCGGGCTGTATTACATTTTTCAGGATATTTAGTTCGTTCTTTTTGCTTTTGGTAGCTTATAGCACTTGCGCCCGAGCAAAGAAAAATCTTGACGATTAATTTGCGAAATTCAACTAACTTTCTTATTTGTAGAGATATTATTTTGAAATTTTAACCAAAGATCGCAAATATCGCATATTTTAAAATTTTTCAGTTTCTTATTCATAAAAATATATATGTCATAACTTATTTTTTAATAATAATAATCATTTAATGTCTTACAGAAATTACCTTCCAATTACAGAACATGTAGACATTAA